AGATTATAAAATATTGTTAAGTGCATTGGGAGCCAGAGCAATACAAATAATTTGATGAATTAATTTATTTTGTCAAACAATATAAAACTTAGAATTTTGGTTATAATATATCTAATATTTTATTATTAAGCTATACATTTTTTTAAAAAAATTTGTTAAATCTATGAAATATGCATATAAATGTTTTTAACCCCAAAATATGCGCATTAGTACAAAAAGTAATAAAGTATACAAAATTATGCAACAAAAATTTTAATATCTGATATATACATATTATGAATCGAATTTGTATCGAATCAGAATTTCAATATGCACTTTCTAGACAAATATGCAAATGCCTAAAGTTCCAAGCCCTAGTTATTAGTAAATAGTAATCTTCCTGGTTTTAAAAATTATGTCAACGTTAAGGTAGTATTTAAGCAGAGCTACTAAAAGAAAACAAAAAATAGAAAAATAAAATGAAAACAAAAAATCGCTGGATTTTCCGCTCAGAGCCCCAAGAATCCTAATTGCGACACTGGTTAACGGTTACATCACGAACACAACGATAATATTGGTTTAGGAAAAATATAAAAATAAAAATTTGCAGTAGAGTTCGAGCGATTTAGGTGCGTGTTTTCGAAAATCAAGCTTTAGAATGTCAATATTTAGAAAATCTATATTTTAGAATATGAAACTTTTAGAAAAATGTTAAATGGTATTTTAGAATATAAAATATTTTTAATAATTTATTATCATCCTGGTATACATTTATTTATCTCCAAAATTCAAAAAGAACAACATGAAACTGAAGCAACATTCGAATCGTTGATTTCAACGTAGGTATTCAAGAAAAAAAAATGCAATGAAACACGGAATAATAACTTATTGCAAATATGTACACGAATAGTTGATGATTCTAATTATAATTTGGATAAATTTATGAGAGTTATTGCTAATAATCTTAAGTATTAACAATTATTATATTTATTTTTTATTATAAAAGAATTATTAGAAAACATTATATATGCGAGTAAACATCATAAAAAATTTCTAAAAATTTAAATTCTAAAAGTTTTATTTTCTTTAACACATTGTTTTTACAACTCGATATTCTAAAACCTAGCATTTTAAAATATGATTTTCTAAAACCTGCCTCAATATCTTTCAACGTAACATACTTTGATGTTACGCCAACATGTTACGACAGGTATGGACACGTCTTCGAACATCTTCACGAAATTAAACTATTATTATATATAATCAGTTTTTAAGTTTAGTTAACTGCCTACAGTAGGGTTACCAGATTATATTTTTCCGAACCAGGAACTTTTGAATGGATAAATATTATACATATATAATATTATAAATATAATATATTTATATATACATTATATATTGTATAATATACAATTTAATTTTTTACAAATTATTTTTTTTTCATATGGCGAGATATATATATATATATTATATATATATATCTCGCCATATGAAAGAAAAAAAAAATATATATATTTTTTTTAAATTAGTTACATGTTGATTTGAATTTTCCGTTTTTTTAAATAATTGTAAAAAAGTACATAAAATTCATCACATTAACTTTCAAAATTAGTTCTATTGATAATTCCTTATCCTCAAGTTTTGTTACGAGATTTTCAATTTCTACCGTGAGAAACCGATCTTTTCTTTTGTTTTCAATTTTCTTGATATTTTATCGAGTAAAATTTTGAAACCGGACAAATCGCTATCACGAAACACTGTCTCGGAACACCGAGACACTTGGTTAAAAACCAGTAGTATCCCGGTAAAACCGGGACGTATGGCAACCCTAGTCTACAGCCCTTGTAGCATAGTCATAATTTGTCACGTTTAGAATATTTAATTATAATTAAAATATTTGATATGACAAGCGTCTATACTCAGCGATAGATTGAACTACTATGAAGTTCAATGGCGTCATTTCAGTTTTTGATAGGGGGGCAACATTACATCGGCCCATACTACCGGGGGAAATATAGTTTCGCTCACACCTTTTAACTTATACTTAAGGTACATATTTTATTTATTATATTATTATAAAACTTGAATTTCTGCAAAATATAATTTTGTATTTTATAAACATTACCTAAACAAAGTTAACTTAATCCTAAATTAATCTAAGCTATAAGTAGTATCTTCTATTTTTCATTTTTGAAAATACATCTATTGCATCATCATCATCATGATTTTTGCAAAAATATCACTTTCAATAGCTATAATCAACAAATTACTCAGCTGATTATTTCTCAATGTTAAGTGAAAATAGGTTTTAATTAAGTACTTATATAAGCATTTTTAAGACATTTCATACTTTCACAATAATTAAATTTGTGCTGTTTATTGGCACTCGAAATTTTAGATTTTTTCTTTTTGCAAAAGTTAGAATATTATAAGCAGAGCTCATAACTTATTGCTCTAAAAAAAAAGTAGTTATAAGCTCAATAATATGCTCTTAAAAATATTTATATAAGCGCTTAAGTATGCACTAAAAATACAAAAATAAATATAACATGAAAAAAACAATTTTCATTTTATTTATTTTTTTAATGCTATACAAGCCGTTGAGGCATTTTGCATGCTTCTACCAAGTATCTCCATCCATTCTGGTCTATCGCGTCATCCAGTCGTTTTGAGTTATCGATATCTAAAATATCCTTCTTCACTTCCTTCTAACTATCTCTGACGAGGTCTCCCACTTGGTCGTTTTTTTGAGGGATTTTTTGTTAAGATGTTTCTTGTAAGACTTTCGGCAGCTCCCCAAATGTGACCAATCCACTCCAGACGTTTTGCTTTTAGAAATAGTCTAATATTAGGCTTGATAAATAAAATTTCCAGATCTTCATTTTTTCTTCTCTGATATTCACCATTATGAAGTCGAGCAGATCTGTAAATTTTCATTTCAAAAGTGAGTATTTTTTTTCATTTCCCTGTGTTGTTGATCACGTTTCATATGTATACATTACTATCGGACGTAGAAAAGAAGTATACAATTTTTATTTATTATTAAAAAAGACGTATCATGTATAGAAAAAAAATTTAAACTTTTATTATAAAAACTCGGATCGCGTCGCTAAATGATACAAATAAATATATAATATAAACCAATAGAAGAAAAATTAGTTAATTAATATGAATTAATTACAAATATAAATATTAATACTACTATAATTACTTGTTAACATTAAGAAAAAATGTTTTAAACGCTACGAAACTGAAAAAGACTTAAAAAAGCAAAATAGTACTTATACATTGAAATATGAAAATATATGCAACATACAATTTCATATTTAACTTTTTAGTTATTTAAAACAAATGTATAGCTCACATAGGTAATTCTAGGACCTGATTATAAATTTAACCTACTTTATTAAGAAATTTGGTTCAACATCTTTAGAAATATAAAATAATCCACCCGACTATAGAGCCATAGGCTATTTTTTAACTACCTTACGTATTTTAATTTATACAATAAGAAGTCTTTATGGAATCTCGATTAACAGTATCTCAATTATCCGTGTTCGCGATTAACCGTGCTCGTCTCTTCCAAAATTATCGTCGTTTGAAATTGTTCGTATGAAAAATTTTATTAGGTCGGACGAACGTATTTTTATATTATGTACATAATACACACTATCATAACATTGTACACATTTAATATGCATATAATATAATACATTTTTCAACATTTTTTTAATAAAAATCTCGAAAAAGCGTATTTTTCATTTATCTCTGTTATTCTTCCCCACCATTACTACGCAGTGGCGGCTCCAGAGTCTTGATTAGGGGGTGGCCAAGTTTTTTACAAAATCTTATAACAAGAAGAAAACAATAAAATTTACAACATAAATTCAAGTCGCTTATTTTTAAAATTGGCAAAAATATCAATAATATTTTCTATTTGATCAGGAATATCTACTTTATGATACACATTAATTAGACTTATAGTTTATTTTCAGCCATCGTTGAACGAAGCTAGGTTTTTAGTCTCAGAAGTGTGGAAAACTCCTTTCAACCATCAAAAATTTATGGTTTTATCTACATACTTGTGCATGTCATATGATAGTCCATATTATAATATGCATTTTTTGTTAACAATATACATTTTTTTATAAATACGGTACGGGCTTGGGAAGGGAAGATGGCCCCTAGGGCCCCCCTTGTACCACGGATAATCAAGTTCTACTGTTCAATGAAATGAATATAAAAAAGTTAACTATACTTAAAATATAGACAGTAAATATAATATATATTGAATATCTAAATATAGTTGGGGTTGTTTCTCCGATGAGATTACTCATTTCTTTTTTAAATTATTTGAACTTAATCGTAGAACTTCAAATGTTTGAAGCACCTGATGTCTTTTGAGTCATCAGGGAGTTGTTTAGCAATCACGTTGGTGAATAACTATGTCTAGTAACAAGTATTTAAGCAAATTTCTTGATTTTGTCCTAGATTAATGATATCTTGAGTTCATGATGAATGAGGTTATTCCTGTTGAATTTGTATACTATGAAAGTAGTTTAAAGAGAAGTATTATGAAAATATTGAATGATTTAAATTTTAGGTTTGCTGATATAATCACACACTTATATGCCATAGGTCTAAATTAGTTTGATGATAGCTGATGTTTGAGAGACGTTTGTTTGTCAGATATAATATGCAATTTATTTCAACTAGCCAGCTCAGTTAATACATTTTTTAATTCTGGATATGGTGTTTCCCATTAAATTGGAAGATGATTTGTATATTCAGGTATTTTAATTGAATATAAACGTGTTTTGATATCCAAAAATTTGATAAAATGTCCTACTTTTAATACCACCAATATTTAATTTGTTTTAGGTACTTTTTTATTATTATGAGTTCCATTGTTTTTTCTAATTTAAAATATGTACATTGAAATGAAGAAAATTTTTTAAAAATTGTAAAAAGATTATTACTCATTCTCTAATTTACTATTTAAATTTAATAAATATCAAGACTTATTTTAAAATATTATCAATATTACTCAGTTTTGAAATTTTTGATGGTTTAAGGATTGTATTATTAGATAATAAATTATTTTCTGATTCCTGATCAAGTGATTTGATTTCAGATTTTTTTCGTTTTTTCAATTGTATTGCATTTTTTCTCATTTCTCGTATATTTTTTAAATCATTTTCATAAATTGTCCAATCAGTAATTTGGTGGTTTAAATTAGTTGGATCTGTTATAATTTCATATTTCTCAATATCTACTTCAAGTAGATTCATTAGAGATAGCATCAAATCATCTACATATGTATGAATAACTAAATCTGCTTTACGGTCCTATATGAAATAATGAAATATTATTATATTAAAACATCATGTAATACTATAAATATTTTATTAAATAACTATGAACCAAACACTTACACATTTTGTTTTTTGTAAATTGCAAATAACAACTTTTCCCTTATTTTTTTTCGCATTAAATGGAACCAAATTTATTGGTTGAATTTGTAATGATGTACCCAAACAAATGCATAAATCTGCCATTCTGTAAAAATTAAAATAATAAAATAAAAGCGTATAGTTCTAAATAATATTATTGTTAACTTAACTAAACAAAATATGTTTGAACAAATTAATTGCGAAAAAAAACCAGAATTCGATTTATCTTAAAAAAAATATTCCGAAATAATATTAGAAATTAAAAATGTAAAATCGAACCGAAAAAAAAAAAACAAACACAGATTACTGACATTTGAAAAGATATAATATAATAACTATTAATGAGGAAGACGAATTTATTTATCCTGTAGACTAATGATTTTCAACCTGGGGTCGTGACTCCCTTAGGGGTCACAAAAGATAGTTTGGGAATCCCTAAAAATAATTAACAATTGGTTATTTATATCAAAATATGTTAATTTAAAAATCAATTTAACTATAACCAATGTATATCAAATAAAATAGTGTATTATTAAAAATCCCTACAGTAAAAAATTTTTTTTATATTTACTATTTAGAAAAAACTCAAATTTAAAAAAATTATACTTATAAAAATATAGATAGTTATAAATTAAAAAATGTATACATTCTTACTTAGAATGCAATTCGGCAAGCTCTAATTCTTCAACAGGTAATTGATGTTCCCAGTCTAGTATTGTATCGTATAAAACTCCTCGACATTGGTTACCACTCTTATTTTTTCCAATACATTTTATGTTTAAACATAGTTGTCCAACTGTTTTTACAGCTGTTTTACTTACATAACTCCTAAAATGTAAAGAAAACAGTAAAATTATTATTTATCATTTGTTCTTTATGAAATGATTGATATTATAAAAAAATACCCATTTTTTTTATGGGCATCATAACTTTTTAAGCAAAAAAAAAAACTATATAGAATAAAAGAAAATTTTAGAATATATTGAATTTTCGTAGAGATATATGGTTATGCATAATTTAATTTCTTAAATTATTCCACTCCAATTGTAATTCATAAATATATTTTAGTAATAAGATAAAAGTAACTGAAATTAAATAAAAATGTACCTTTTGCATTTATTACATTTCATAGTAAACATATTTCCATGAACTTCGGAAATATATTGACGAAGTAATCCTGACTTTAGATGCAAACCATCAATATTTTGAGTGACAACATATTTAGCATAACCTAAATATATTAAGTAGTTTATAAAATAAATTCAGTTATAGATATGACATACTATGAATAGGATTTAAAAAATACAGTTCTCTTAGTTTGAGTAAATTTATAAATTATAGTTAAAACTAAGTATATATGAGCAATAATTTGGCTTAAATTGGTCTAATAAAATTAAAATTTTATTTTGTTTTTATAATCTAAAATGTAAATATTATTGTAAGTTATAATTAGTCTGGTAATAAACGAAATTGCACCTGCTATTAGTAAATTATTTATGATAAAAATATTTGCTATTACAATGTTTAAAATTTAAATGATTTCAATATAAATTATTTTTTCTCATTGAGATTATTTTGTATCATTATTAATCTTAGTAGTGATACCATGATAATGATCAACATTACCAAATATAGCAATTTAAAAATTAAATTAAAATTAAAACAATAAAATATTAACTAAAACAAATTAATCCTTTTATTGACCATTATTTTTCTCTTTTCAACCCATGTAACTTTTTAGTTGAAATTTACTTTAAGTCTGTCAGTCAAAATAAATCTACCTAAAAATTAACAAAAAAATTAACAATCTATAATTTTAGTGATATTAGTTCATATTATTTTTTACAATAATCAATTTAACAGTATAACACTAAGTAAAATAAATATTTCAAATAAGTAATTAGTATGAGATTAGCTTGTTACTAACTTAAATAATCAAATGTACTAAGAATACATTTGTATTATATGAAATTTTATAAATATTATTATTAAAAAAAAAAAAAAAAATGTATTATCTATTATATCAAAATCAACTAATCATTATTAATAAATAAATAAAATATTTATTTAATAAAATGTTAAACTACATTTTTATTTTTATAATTGTTTAAACATTATAATAAAATATTTTTTATACATCATAATATATATTTTAATTAATGGATATGTATTATGAAGATTATTAAAATATTCAGAGTAAATTTCAACAAAAAATATATGAAGTAAAAAAATAAGAGAACATTTTAGCAAAAAAGGTGATGCAAATTAAATATTTTAAATACACTCTAAGTATACATATATAATATTAATTTAGATTTTAACAATAAGATTAAAAAGTGAAAAATCATGATTATACCTTTGTTAATCATACTTTTGATTGCCATGTGTGTTAGTGTTGGTTTAGCATCATTAAAATCTAAGCTGATTTCTGGTTTCTTTCCTTCTTTTTCTAAAGTCCATACACCTTTTGGCCCTCTAAGATTATTTCATTATTAAACAAAATTTTAAGTAAAGGTAAATTTAATATTAAAAAAATCTTTAAACTTCATCTTTAATAGGAATACAAAATACATTAGAAATATATACCAGAAATAAGTATTAACTTTTATTCATTATTATAATTTACAATATACTAACTTAACTTACGCTGATTTTTTTAATAAATATGAAAATTTTACAATAAGTAAAATGTTTTATAAATAAGACATTACAAAAGAAAAAAAATCAATAAATTATAGTAACATTATGTACCTACATCTTTTAAGACAAATTTTAATACATTTTTAAAAAATTGATTGTAGATTCATTTACTTAAAAGATGAAAATAATTAAAATAGTTTACCATCAGTTTTCATGAAATAAAGCCATTAAAATATTATATTGTAATATTATAATTTGTAATAGAAAAAAAATAAAAAATTTAAATAGTAATTTTTTTTTTTTTTTTTATTGTAATTTGTAATTTATAACTACTATTTAAAATTATAATATAATATAGTCTATTTTATGGTTTTATCTATGGCATATAAGTCATTAAATACTAATTACAGTTATAGTACAAGTCAAGAAATTATAAAATTTTCTGCACTAACAATTGATAATTTAACAAAGTAATATATTTGAAAATGTTTATTTATGATATACCTAATTTATTGATATTGAAGTTCCAAGAAATCAGACATGATCGATTTATAATCTTTTCATTCAATAAAAAATGTTAAAAATTATAATAATGATAAACAACCTATTCCGGATTTTAACCATAATATATATTTACCTGAAATCAGGTATACCTGCAGATGTACTTATACCAGCACCAGTATGAAAAACTGTATATTTAGATTCTTTAATCCAATCTGAAAGTAATGAAATCTTTTGTTGTAAAACATCCGGTGGATCAAAAACCTAAAAAAAAAAATAATAGTTTAAGATAAAAATGTAAAATTGTATGATATTAACCATTTGTTAATAATATTTTGCTAACCTCTTTCATACCAACTTTCCCTTTATATTCATATGGAGATAAACCATCTGCATAGTTGGAAGACATTTTCTTTAAGATTATGAAGATATAATTAACAATCTAAAAAAATTTAAATAATAATAACATTTTATAAATAGTAAAACTATACAGTTAGATTGTCTTATGTAATAACTACTTTTTAACTGATTCCGATTAAAAATCTAAGCCGAAACATAAAAACAATTATTTAATTGTTCAGATTAAAGAATATGAAAAGATTAATGTTATAATTAGCTAAATAAGCGTTAAACAAAAACAATATTAAATACAATTTAAAGTTTGGACTATTTACATTTAGTGTTCATATTTTTAACAATCAGATAGTTAAGATTTGATCCAAAAAATGTTCGTTTATTTAACCAACAATAAATAATGAACGAATAATCAACATTAATTTCGCCGATTTAGAGACGTCGATATAATTGGCATTATTGTTATTATTTCAGCTATTTTTTTCAGGACTTGACATAGTATATATATATATATATATATATATATATATATAAATAGATATAGGACATAGAAAATAATGATTTAAATGATTTTTATTTAACGTTATCAACAATACCGTAATTTTGTTACGATTATCAATAAAATGCTTTGACAATATCATTGTAGTATATACCACGATTATAGATAGGTTATTGTAAGTTCAACCAATTTATAATCGTGGTACTAACGTAATCAAAGTTTAATATCAAGTTGGATATATGATAAACGATATCACTATTGAGAGATAACAGTTCGCAAAATTATTATTTTTGTCTACTTATATTAGTTATTAATTTAATATTTATATTTATAAAAATATTTATATTTTATATATTTTTGTTATTATTTAGATGTGAAACTTTTGTTTATTTTTTCTTATTTTTTAATACAAAATAAGGTTGTAAAAATTAAATATTTTTATCAAAAGGTATGCATACTATTTATTATTTTTGGTCTTATTTTCTCTATTTCCTAATAATTCTACAGATTTACTTGTAAATCATTTTGTATATATAGAAGCGGATCTAGGAGGCCAGTTGACTTGTAATCAATATTTGTTGACAAAATTTGGCCTCTTGTAGACTTATTATATTTTTGCCGATTTTTTTATTTTTATGTCCACCAACTATAGATAATGCCTCAGTCGCAACCTTCCAAATGATGCCACAGATTTAATTGTATAGTACAGTAAAATATCTCAATGCCAGATTTCGTGTTAAATGGAAACCTCTATAAAATAAAATAAATGTTAATGTTTTCAATGATTTAATCATGAATATACTTAAAAACACATATTATATGATCATATTGTGTTTTTCTTGTTCCAAGGTATACATTTACACTCCAGTTTCAGTCTTAATAAGTGACCTATTGAAATAGTATGAGTTTTGTGTATGAGAACTGTGGATCTGCCCCTGTATATATATATATATATTTAAAATACATTTATGTAGATTTATTTAAAATATTTTAAAATATATGTAAATATACATTAAAAATATTTATAATATTACTAATAGTTTATATGATATAGTATGTGTATACATATTCAAAGATAATAACAAAGACTTTATCAGAAATTATTACATAGGAAGTATGTAATTTGTAACAATGTCAATTATAACAAAGAAAATATTTATAATTTATAATAATTAACAATTGTATTAATTATTATATTAATATGAGTACAATATTATGAAAATATCATATTTTTTTGTATAAAACTTTAAAAAAAAACTTGTTTTATTAAATGGAGTAGGTTAAGTTAAGTAATAGTGATTTTCATAGTCTATGTTTTTATAGATTGGACCGGACCAATTAATCAATGCTTAAACTGAAAATTAAACTAAACTGAATTATGATTTGACATTATGAACCAAGCTAAACCAATTTGTTTAACATATTGAGTAAACCAAACTAGACCATTTAATTTTTTTAATAATTAACAGACTAAACTAAAGCCATTTAAATTAAATGAAGACTAAATTAGACCAAACCAAATTCAATTGACTTAATGTTAGACTGAATCAAACTGATATAATTTGAATTTGATAAAAAAAAAAAACCCATACTGGATTACAACTTTTTTTTCTTCAAATATTTCATTATAATACCATATTTTCTATAGTAATTTATTGTTTGTAAGATTCTATAGGTACATAGTTCATGAGAATTTAAAATTGTACATAACATTATAATAACATTTTATATTTATACACTGTTTCAATTGTTATTTATTGTTATACAACTACAATTTCAGCTCTAGCTTGTAATTATTATCTTTATTAGGTACTATTCCCATAAATTATTTGAAAAAACTATTTTTCTACTATAAGTTGATCAATCTCTTGAGAATATTATTTCTAAAACGCATACTAAGTTGAAAATATTTTTTAATAATAAACTTAAAATATTTTCAATATACATTTTGAGAAGGTATTTATGCTTAAGTATTAAATAATAAATAGTTAAATTATTTAAAATATATTTGTGTTACGAAAAAAAATAAATATAATTAAAAACTTAATAACCATAAACATTAAATATATTACAAACCACATAAATTAGTTTGATAATAAATAATATTAGTAATATTAGATATTTCAATTTATAATTATATAGTTCATGTTTTCATTTAAAAGTAATTGTGATTTTATTGATAAGAATAGATAAGATAGTTGAATTATTTAACTTATTTCTTGGATTTAGTATATTTTAATATTAAATGCATCATCTATAATTTATTATAGTATTTATAAGTATTTCTTTGAATTATTAAATTAAATATACATATTAAGCTAAATTAATATGCATTTGTATTATATATATTTTATTTGATATTTATACTAACATTTTTGATGTACTTGGTTTTTTCTAGAGGCTGTTATACTGATTAAATATGGATATAGATCAGTTGGGTACAGATGCAAAACTGGCTGCAACAAAGTATTTTACCAATATGCTTAAAAAACCAGGACAGCTGGAGAAAGTTGAACAATTGAAGAATCGTATTTCACGTAAGAAAACTTCTACAGAAGCTATGTTAAAAACAGCTATGCAAAGTCAATTGGACGGGGTTACAATTGGAATGGAACAATTGAAAGATGCATTAGATGACATTAATAAAGTAAAATCAATTTTAAATCAGACAAAACAATCATTTATCAACTTACCATCTCTTGGGTACAAATTACAAGATGTCCGTACCAAGCAAATGCAACATTCTCAATATTTAACAGCTAATGAAAATATGAAACACTTATTTACAGTACCCGAAAGCATCGAAAAAACTAAACAGTGGATAAATGATGGAAAGTTCTTACATGCTCACCAATGTTTAATAGATCTTGAAAACTCAAGAGATGATCTTCTGTTTGAAGTACATAAGTTACCAAATCAAGCACCTAGCGATAAAATACTACTCAAAGCATATTTTGAAGACGTTGAAGTTATGTCTAATATGCTGGAAAAACAAATAAAATTAGTATTAAGTAGAACACTAAATACTGTTAGAAAAGAACCTATGGTAATTGTAACTGTGCTGCGTATAATAGAAAGAGAAGAGCGTGCTGATATATTTGCTATACAACGCCAAAAGCAATCTGGATTTTTGCCTCCGGGTCGTCCAAAAAAATGGAAAGAAATGGCATTTGATGTGCTCCAAAAATCGGTTGACCAACGAATAGAAGGCACTCAGGTGAATGAAAGATCTGACAATAAAATGTGGCTTGTAACATACCTGGAACTATGTCGTCAATTAATACTTGAAGATTTGCGAGTTGTTAAAACTCTTTGTGTACCTTGTTTTCCACCTTCATATAATATATTTGATAAATTTGTTAATATGTACCATTCTAGTCTTTCAGCAAATTTAGAAGATATTATATCAAATGGATTAGAAGGTAACGAGTATGTTACAATTATTTCATGGGTAACTAATACATATTCAGGAGTTGAGTTGATGAAGCATCCCGAATTGAATATAGATATTGGTAAAGTTGGTTCTTTATTAAAATCATCAATTATTTTTGATTTACAGTCAAAATATTTGGATTATATCAAAGGCAATTACAAAGAATGGATGTTAAAAACATTGGATACCGAAAAGAATGATTGGTATGCTGGCGCTTCACCTGAAGTTGGTCCTGATGGATGTTTTCATACAGCGGCTCCAGTTATTATATTTCAAATGATCGATCAAAATTTACAAGTCACAAAAACTATCAGCCAGCACTTAACGCATAAAGCATTATTATTAAGTGTGGACAGTGTTAGTTTGTATGGATTATCTTATAAAGAGGCTGTTATTGAGTTTAAGAAAAAACACTTTGAGGATAGAGACAAAGTGCCATTTTTTACACATTGTATAATCACAGTACTCAACAACTGTTTGCAAATTATTGAGTTGGCCTTAGAAATGAAACAACATTATTGGAGTAGTGATTTTAAAGATCAGTCGAGTACTGCTTATGAAAAATTAATTAAGACTTTTCAAAATCTTAGAGATGAAGCAGCACAATTTCTTTTAGAAGAAGCATTTCTTGATCTGGATATTCATTTTCAAGATTTGATAACCTCAAAATGGCTAACCAGCTTCATATCCATTGAAACCATTTGTGTGACCTTAGAAGATTATTTTCAGGATTATACTCATTTAAAACCTAAGAATTTGGAGTATATAATTTTGGAAGCTCAGGATATAATAGTACGGCGCTACATTATAGCTATGTTACAGAAAAAAATTAATTTCAAGACATATGAAGAGCGTCGTACAGCAGCTGATAAAATGACCAAAGAAGTTGATCAATTAAAATCATTTTTTATGCGTGTTGCACCTTTAGTAATACGTGATAAAGATTCACCTTTTGATGCTGTTATAAAGTTATCTGAAGTATTGAAAAGTGAAGATTCTGAAATACTTTCTTTGGATCTGCACACGCTTGTAAAAATGTACCCTGATATAACTGAGGATCAAATGACTAGATTGTTAAGTTTGAGAGGTGATTTGAGTAGATCAGACATACGAGAAAAAGTACAGTATGCGATCCAAAATAATAAAGAACTTGCTGGCACTACATTAACTAAAAGCATATTTCAACAAATACACTTGTAGTATAAAATTAATTTATAAAACTTACTATTTAATAATAATTAAGTTATAAAGCATAACTAAATAATTGTATATTATTATTATTTTATAAAATATATTTATATATAATTTTATACTCCTAGTATGGTAAGTTATTCCATTGTAAATAATTTAAGAATATGTTAATTTATATATTAATAAGTATTTATTCTTATACTTAATATTTGTTAATACCATTTATTATACCATTTTAAGTATATTTACAATACTTTTAATGTGTTTGTTTATTTTTTTAAATATTAGTCACTTGTTTGAACTAGAGTCAATATTGGTTTTTAGTGGTTACTTAATGAATTAATTTTTTCATCATTTTATGATATAAAATGGCTTCATTGTGCTTACATAATTCTATATTAGATTCATAAAAGTTAAAATTTAGAGATTTAAATAAATGTTAAATGTTTTGAATTATTCACAAGAATTTCTTATAATGTTGCTCATTATCAACAACTAATTTGTAAAAATTATACATTATGGTTTTTTAAAATCTATTAACAGTATGGAAAATATTATCTTATTTTTAATTGAATTAGATTTTTTCTATATTTTTTTATATTCTAAAACAAAATTGAATAACTAAATTAATTTATTATTTATTTAATAATTTTTTTCATGTGGAAATACTAATTTTATTATTATAGAAATCATATACATCAACCAAAAACAATTCAAAAAGTATGTTTTCTAGTTTTTAGATAATTTTATTGACTACCTACTGTATGATATGTACGGATATCCTACATGGTATGAACAGCATTATTTTTGAGATCATTACTAAAATAAGCGAAGGAAAATTGAGACGTTTGGTTGTTGATAATCATGAAATAGTGACCACGTAATCATTTGATAACTAACAGTGCATATAATTATAATAAATAGAAAAGTTCAAGATTGATTTAGAGACATGTTAACCAATAGTCAATGCAAACAAAATAAACAATGCTAATTTATTACACCCAAGATACATTATCGTGCATGATATTTTACCAGATTCTCAACAAAACCATCAGTTGATTATAAGTACATTTTATAAAAACAAATTATCAAAACACACATTACGTTCAAAATATTAAATAATTTACCAAAGTATTAGTACGTTATTATTGAAATGTTCAGTGGAATCTAACAAAAATTGAAAACCTACTTATATAAATTTGATTTGATTTTGTTTCAAGTTTGTCTATTAAATTAGCAAAAAACAGGAATAGTCTTTAATTCCGTTTTGAATAGTTGGCACAATAATATTTTAATAAAATTTGTGTATTCAAATTGAAATATCAAAAACAATAGATACCTGCACTTAATATAGATATATTTTTTATGGGTGATTTAATTCTTAAAAATGAATGAAAAAAAAATTGTAATAATTATTTTTTTTCCAATTTTTCGTTTTTTTTTTTTTTTTTTTTATCAAAATATTCAATATCCTAAAATTTTGTTTGCAAAATGAAAAAAAGACAGTTTTTCAACGTATTATTTGAAATTTGGTTGATCAGGAAAGAAAAATATTTTCAGACCACGAGTAAAGACTATGTTTATAAATGTTTTCTACTTTAGTTTTACTGTTGTGCTCACGACAACAATACCGTTCACATTTTTATTTACACAATATCGCACAATACAAGGTTACTAAATTGAACCATTGCCTATGATTTTAGTCTTGGCAGCCTTCTGTTATTTGTATTTCCACGCATCAAACGCATACGCTGTGGAAACAATTTTTAAAACCCATCCGGTCTAATTTATTGCAAGCATTTTGCGGACGGGCAAGAAAAAAAAAAGAAAAAGAAAAACATAAATAAAATATAAGTGTTTCGAATATTGTCCTTCGTACCATTCTCGCCGCACCCTTTTGTATAATGTTTCCGACGAATCACTGCAAAAAGATACACAACTCTCTCATCGAATAATAAGCGAAATAATCTACAATAAATTTGTCGCAAAGATTTCGAAATCGTTCGATCACCATGGACTTGATATTAAACAACGTTCATGGAAAAAATCTGTCTAATTGTACCTACGTACAACCTCATATAGAGCGTGCCCATGGATTGGTTTTGGAGATCTAAACCACCTCAAAATGGTCTTTTTACATTTTTTTATCTTATTTTATTTATAAAATAAAAAACATTACCTATTCTATTATATTACACAGTCACAGTGAAACATAAATTTATATATCAATATTTGACGAAACTTATTGCACATATTGCGTTTTATTTTAAAATAATCAAGTTGGTCACCTAAATCTAGAACGTGTAGGTTTTTTGATTTCAAAGGTATTCGTTAAATCAATCGGTAGAAAAATGCTAAGCCAAAATTTAATTTATACCAAAGTAAAAATTTAAATGAAAAATTTAAAATAATATCAGAGGATAGTTTCGTCAAACTTGACGAGCTATGTGACATTAAAATGCCACGTAACAGAAAAAAAAAAATTTGGAGTAGCGTACCATCAACTTCTCCTTTAAAATATTATAAAATATCTATAATATGCATAACAATAATACAAGTATTCATACCATACCATTTCGTAAATTGTAAAAAGATTTATATTAACGTTAAAAAAATTAACTACTATAAAAAAAAATTCTGAACACTCACTGAGACCCATTATCGTAATCCGATCAACGGCAGTTCGTTGAATGGATAATTGTTATTTGCTTACACACGAAACACACTTGTGCTACATTGCACACCGTTAGGTTGATATTGCATATAGATATGAACCACGGGTCGTATAGCCCCATTTTTCTAATTTATTCCTTTGACCGTACTCCATACGAGTCTACGGAATTTAAAGTTTTTCAATTTAAATGTATGCTTTGTTATTATTACTATGTGAAATGAATTGCTCGCGCGATACCGGTAAAATTATTTAATCCGACTGTCATCCTTGACACGGCCAAATGTAAAATCGAACAACCATTTCACCAAACCAATAAAATTGGTGTTATCTACTAGGTACTTGGATATTTTTACCCAACTAATGGAAAATGACCTTTGTCTTAAAAAATGTTCTTTTATCTGTATCAGCAGTCATCAAATGGCGGGCCGCGGACAAATTCTATCCGGCTCGCAGGCAAGAAAAAAATGTAAAAATATGCCGTGCATATTTTAAAGTTTGAACGGTGAATAACTGTCTACGGAATGTGCCGATTACGCGTTAACGCCAGTTCGTCAATTACCACCAACCCTTTTCGATTTATTGCCATTGTATAACATTGTTACTATAGACGTGCGCAGACCTGTATTTCAGGGGGTGCTTATAATTTTTTTGAGCCCTATCTCAACAAAAAGTGTTGGCATGTTTAATAAGTTGTAATGCAAAAATAATTATATGAACATAACTTTAAATTTTTATTTAATATCGTGGTATACTAATCCTAATAAATATGTTTTCCTTAAATCTTGAATATTTTTCTCAGATAGCTTCTGTTACGAGAATTTTTTATTTTTAGTCAATTGTAGGTGTTATATTATCATGATAAGTGTTTGCACGAAATTTGAGAACATTTCGTTTTATTTTTCTATTTCGAAACATCATTTATTTTTTACTAAAAATGTTAGAATAAATTTAATTTAATTTGAACATCTCCAGTTAAAATATTAAAGGCCCTATACTCTTAGACTTAAAATGTTGGGCACCATTTATAACATTTGGGGGGGGGGGTGTCCGAGCATACATGGCAACCCTGTGTGCATGTTTATGTTTATTACGTGCTTCGTTTAAATTTGTTTCCGTCCGTAATTTGTTTTTATTTGATTACGGATTGTAAAAGAAGAAAAGTTGAATTTGAAAACAGATAGTTTTTGCCCGAGTAGACGGAATAATATTGTTTTATTTTATTAGACCGCTCAGGGGCAAAGGTTATATTTAAGATTTAGCCATCTAGCGATAGAAAAATGTTGCCATCTCTCTTTTTTGAATTGCAAAACTTAAAATAAGTGTCTTCAATTGGTATTCATTAAAAAGTCGCTCGCTACACCCGAAATTAATTTTCCCTGTTTCATTGCACTATTAAAAAATATTTTTAATTAATATAAAATCAAAAATAATAACCGAGTTTTAATCATCTAAATAAAGTTACAGAAAATTGTCTTTTATGAGACCGATTGATAGGTACCCTTTGGTCTGAATGTCGCATTCCCGTACAAATCAAAATTGAACCCACACATCTATCTGAATAAAATACCTCGTAAAACAAAATACTCTTCAATAGATATAAATTTCATATTATTTTTAGATTTTAATAAAAATAGTATTAAATTTAAATGTTTAAAGTTCTTAAATAAAAATGGAATATTATTTTACTTAGACTTTGCTTCCCTTTATAAAGCTTATGATTTATATTGATCACCATTATTCATAATTTATATATTATTATTCTCAAATAAGTGTGAAATAATAGTTATTTGAATTAAACATTTTAAAATCATGTTAACAAATATTTTTTGAAAATAATTAGTTGTTAATTTATTTTTATACGTTACTAAATAATATAAATAATTCTATATTATTACATTTATTCTTTATGTAATTTTATTTATTTATCATTCATAAATAATTTTCCATTGAGAATGCGAAAAAATCGATTTGTTTTTATTTAGAATTACCGTAAAAGCTTTGCCATCTCTTAAATATTTTAGGGGCTTTATTGTCTCCTCAAACTACCCTTTAAATGAGGTCCGGCTCAGAAGTCATGTGGTTTGTATTTTATATAACTCCAAGTCGAAAAAACATAATAATATTGTTATGATCAAATAAAAAGTTGAGTAATTGACTAACGAAATCGAATGATTCGATTTGTATTGATAAAAACAATTTTTTTGAACAATTTAAAATGTTCGAAAACTATTTCAAAGAACACATTGAAGAATGGTATAATATATCACTCGAAGAACATTGGTTAGTTTAGCTTAAAGTATTATAACGTGCGTTTTAATAATCGTATAATCAAAATATCAGCAAAAGTTATATATATATATATATAAGAAAATTAATA